CATTTCTTCTCACTCTAAGCAATATTTTCCTTCTTTTTCTCTCTAGAAATCATTCCCTAAACACTAAAAACTCTTTGATTCTTATAATCCCTTGGGTTTAGATCATCATCCTCTCCTCAAATCTTGAAGATCTAGCTTGGGGCTCTCCTTGGTGTGTGGGAGTTGAAGAATCCACCATTGAAGTTAGGGTTTCATCCTTTTCCATCATCAAGACTTTGAGGTAGGGATTCTTGAGTTATATATACTAGTTTTGCTATTTTGATGATGATTTAAGAGTCTTCTACTAGTTTTGAAAATTTCAACCTTGTGATTTCAAAAATGTAGAGATTTTCTTCGAAAAAGGGTTTTGCCTTAAACTTTCAAAATTTTAGTTAATCTTTGGGGGGTTTCATCTTGTTGATCTAAGAAAATTGTTTTGATGAGGGTTTCTACCAAGAAGTGGGAAGTGATTGTCTTGAGGAAAAACCCTAGAAATTGGGGATTTTGAGAACACATGAAAATACTTGTGAAATCCTTTATTATTTTGCATCATGATGTTGAATGAGATGTTATTGTTGCATAATTGTTAAAAATGTTTGAAACATGTTGTTGGAAGTGATGAATGACTTTGTATCATGGATATAAAAAAAAAAAATTGTAAGATCTTGGAATTATGTTGAAAATCTCGTATTGCCTTGAAAAGGTTAATTGTTGTGATTTGTTGTTGTGAGGAATGGAGGGCACATGGATGTTTTGAGAAATGACTTTGAAAGGAGGAAAAGAGGAATGGGATTGATTTATATTGTTGTAGAGATGTCTTGAGAATAGAAAAATGTTATGACATAGTGATTATTGCATCATGTTTAAATTGAATTATTATCATTATTGTGCATCTTGGCATGTGTTGGAAAACATTTATATTGGGAAAGAATACATATTGCAATGAGAATTATGATAATGTACATGGGGTAAATACGTGGTAAGTCCGGATAGGGAGTGTAGTTGAATTTAATAAGTTGTCCTGAGTGTCCATGGTGAAAGACCAAAAAACCGCACGGATAGGTGTCAAGCCTTCCGATTAATACCGGTAAAAATGACAGTTTGGTAGTACTCATAGAGTCTACTTGCAGACACCAGCCTAGGGATTACCAGTGTCGTATTTACCGCCCCTATTGAATTAATATTGGAAGTTTGAAATTGATGAGATTACAAGATAATATTGAAAACATGGTGATTTTGAAATAGTGCATAGAAATGAACATTTTCCGCATTTATTAACCTTGGCATGACATTGCATTTACATTTATTTTTTTTATGTTGAGGAAAAAGCATAACTGTATATACTTTGTGAGGATTCTCTACTGGGCTTTATGCTCACTCTTATGGGATTTGGTGCAGGTAAAGATGTGGTGATTCCGCCGAGTTGATGGCATGGACGTGATTGTGAAGAGTACTTTGCTCTTAAATTTTTGTGTAAGTTTTTGTAAAGCCAAGGGATAATGTGTATGGGTCTGAGAGGCCATTTTGTGTAACTGGGCTATTGCCTTGGAATTTGTAAGCCCTTGAGGGCCTTATTCGTTTGGATTTGATGATCTTACATGCTATAGATTCATGTACTAGTTTATCAATGAATGTATAACCGCATGTGAGATTATTTTTGTAAAACATTTGATCTTATGTAAAGGAATATGGTTAATTTCTTATTTTGGAAGTGGGTTGATGTAATAGTTATGTGGTTAGTTCATGTCGAATTATTTTGCGGCGTGACGTTGCCCAACTCTTTCCTATTTCAAGTTGAAATAAAAAAGATAAACACTACACATTCGCTACCTGGGAGGCACTGAGGTAAGCTTAGAATAAACCGAGAGACCCTTTCAAAAAATATATATATAATTAAAGAAATTATTAAGTTTACCTATCGTGGAAAGGGAAATCTCTTCCAGCACTTTCCCATGCTCTGACACTTCATCATAGCACCAAATGAGAGAAATAAAATAGTTCACCAACAATATATTCAAATGGTAGAATTACATGCTTCGATGATATCAAAATAAGGTATTCATGCATTTTTTTTGGTTCTTTTGTTTTTTTTTTTATTAGCGAGATAAGTTTAGTTTGTTGTTGTTGTGAGAAGAACCATACAAAGACAGAGAAACAATTGCAAACTAACAGTTGTCAAAGTAGAGTTGGTTTCGTAATAATTGTTTATATTGAGATATTTTGGTTTTTTATTATTTGTTGCACTTTTTTTGGAGTACATTAGTTGGTGTCCTTTGGTTTTACTAAATTTCCATGCCATTGGTATGTTGTTGGTGAGAGTTAGGAGATAAGAATTTTTTTTGGAGTACATTAGTTGGTGCCCTTTGGTATGTTGTTGGTATGTCATTAGTGAATTACATTAATTGGTATCCTTGGCTTGATAAGATTTGTTGTTTTTGTATTTTATGAATTAGTTGGAAAACTCAGATTACTTAACGTTCTAGAATGATTTGTTTTAGGAATAGTATATTTGTTTTTGTATTGTGGAGGAGGGTTGTTGTCTTTGGGGCTGATATTAATGTTAGGTACATTTTTTAAAAAAAGTTTTCAGACCAAGTATCTTATTGTGAATTGTAATTTATCAATACTATTGATAATGTTAGGAGTTATTGCTATGCCTGCGTGTGTCCACTCACCTTGCATTTATATTTCTTTACTTTCTATCATGTTCGGATGCCATCTTCATACTAGCTTTTTTTTCTCCATGATAGCTGGAAAAAATGAATGAAAACTAGCATCTTGGCTACTGTTTCAGCAGACATGGTTATTTTATTAGTCAATCTTTGTAAACATGGATATTGTATTTTTGTTTTCAATTGGAAAATTTTCAGGTTTTGGAGGTTTGAAAGGGCTGTGCAGGTCCATTGACGAGCCTTTTCTTTTAATTTTTTGCCTTAACATCTTCAACTCTTTGTTTGGGGAGCTTGAATCTGATTTATTGAGCTTGAAATCTGATTTTTTTTGTTGGGGTTAGATTTGTTAGAAAATTTTATGGAAAATATTTACTACATTATATATGTTAAAATTTTACATAGAGGGAGTTTATACTTTTGTGCTAATCAGCTTCAATTTTTTTTTTTTTTTGAATTACATTTCACATTGACATATTTCTTTTGGTTGGAATATAGGTTTTTAAAGAATCTTGACAAAGCCTAAAGGAATATTGGAGCTGGCATGAGTGGTTTGAAGTTCATATATTGCAAGACAACCATCTCTTTGTGCTAATCAGCTTCAATTTTTTTTTTTTTTTGAATTACATTTCACATTGACATATTTCTTTTGGTTGGAATATAGGTTTTTAAAGAATCTTGACAAAGCCTAAAGGAATATTGGAGCTGGCATGAGTGGTTTGAAGTTCATATATTGCAAGACAACCATCTCTCTTAGCTTTTTTTTTTCTTTTTCTTTTTTTTCTTATTTGACTATTATTATTATGGCTACGCTTCAGTGGAAACTTTTGGCCTTGCTGAGGGGAAGGAAAAAGTTGTAAGTTTATTAATTAAATGACCCTCATTTGTACTTTGTGGACATCCAAGCTATTTTGTAGTGGAAAATATATTTATTGGATTTCTATGAAATGCGAATATGTTAGAAATATGTAAATAAGGTAGGAATTGTACTAATAAATTCTACGGATGAAAAGGTATGGAATGATGGAAATCTTCTACTAACGTAACGATTTAAAAACAACGCTTAAAAGAATTAAAAAAAATTCTTTTTATGTAGAAAGGCAATTTCATTTATAAAGTACAGACAAAATCAGACACAAGAAACAACCTCAATTAGAACCTCTTCCATTCAAAGTGACCATAGATGGGCAGTTTCATTTCCTAGCATTTTGTCATGAATACAAGCAGATTTAAAACTCCCATCCAATCTTTAATATCAGATCAGCAATTGTATTCCTAATAGATTAGAAATTTTCTTCATTACAGCTAATTTGTATGGTTAAAAGTAACTACTCTCAGCTTGTATGATTCCCAATAGATTTAGAAATTTTCTTCATTAAAACAAATTTATTTGGTTAAAAGTAAATACCTCAGCTTGTATGCTTTCCAATAGATGATAAATTTTCTTCATTAAAACAAATTTGTTTGGTTAAAAGTAAATATCCCTTAGCCTGTATGCAACAAATTCAAAACATTGGCAAAAGACACAACTTTGTACGGCCCAACTACTTTAATATTGTCCACAACATTTTCATTTGCAATTCCCTCACTGCTTGGTGCCATTTCTCATGAAATCTCTTACAATGATACCAATACCCATCACTACCATCTTTTAAATTTTTATATATATTCCTTTTAAAAATAGTTCACTAATTCCTTCACATTCACATAATAAAAATGTTAATGTGTAAAGTAACTGAAATTGTAACGCCCTCAAAATTAACCCATTATATATATCATTGACATGCATTATTTAAAGAAGACAATTTATTAATTTATTCATCATAGTATTACTAAATAAAGCATTACATGTAACATTGAATAAAATGCCTTACAGGCTTACATCATTTAGCAAAAAATTTAAATTCAAAAAAAAAAATTCTTTTGAAGTCAAGAATTCTTCAAAGCTGATAAAACATCTGTCATTGTAGCTTATAGGAAAGTAGGTTGATGGTTTAGACTGAAAACAAATCAAAAAATTTAAATTTAAATTGATAAAATTAAAAATTTAGGCCTGTTTTTTCACAAAATTAAAACTCTGATTTTTTGTTTTTATTTTTATTTTTGTAATTTCCCCTTAGAAAAAATTACCAGTAAAGGCATGCCCTGTCTTACCCAAATGCAACTTTATTGAAAACTTGTAAAGAAGCCTTGATGAATGACCTTCAAGACATATACATTTGATTCAATAAATAAATACGTATAACTAATTTTTCATGAGAGGGAAATAACTATATACTATTTCTGAAGACATTAATTTGCCAGCCTAGAAGTAGAAAGGGAAGACAATAGAAAGAGGTTTCCTATCCTCGCTCAGTGGCTTCTTCCACCGCATTTCTCATCGATGCCATTGTCTGTCCTCATCCAAACACCATTTCGATCACACGAGATGGAATCGAGGCCGGGACATTCTACTTTCTCCAGGTAAATCAAATTGGGAAATAACATCATAATATCTTTCCAAGGCATCTTTAAGTTACTCAAGTACTTCAATTGTAACATTTCAACTGTGGTAGCTACTATTATGCCCAGATTACACAATAGTCCTCCTCTGATGTAAAGTTTCTTCAAGTTTTCCAAATTGTGAGACCGCAACCAACCAGGTGTATCTATCTCAGGAAAACCCTCAAGCTCTAGTTTTTGCAACGATGAAGGAAGTTCCAATGAGAGAGAAAGTTTTAGATCACGCTGCTTAGTTTTACCTCGTAAAAAGCATCCTGGCCAAGATATTTTCAACTTCTGTAGAAATTTTAATCTTTGTAAATGAAGCTGCAGAGCTATTGGAAATTCTTTCGTACTTATGGATATGCTCAATTTTCGTAGCTTTGACAATTTTGTCAAATTATTGATAGTACATGACTTTTTGTCCTTGAAATCTCCAATAATAAATCCCTTGAGGACTTGGAGATTAGATAATGCACCAAGCCCCTTGGGCATGTGATCTAAAAGTTAACACTCAGATATATCCAAGTGTGTCAAATTTTCAAGCAAGCCAATCCAATCTGGAACCACCTCAAGGTTGTGACAGGCTTTGAGATCTAGAATTTTAAGATCAGTCAGTTGTGAAATGTACCGAGGAAGCTCTGTAATCAAAGAAATTCCTCGAAGGCTAAGAAACCTCAATTGTTTCATATTCTTGAGTGCATTGAGAATTTTGATGTCTCTGCTTGTTCTGCTTGGAATGGAATGCACCCGCTAATCCACCAGTAAATCACAAACCTTTTCTTCATGGTAGCCATTTCTGGGAAAATCAAGAAAAAATCCAAAATTTTTTTTTGTCCCCAGTCGAGGCTATGGAAAGATACCTGGATATCTGCAAGTGCAGAGGTGCTGTGCAAATAACCGGCCTTGTTTACATCGACTTGGTAGTTGCTGCTGCTACCGTTAATGGATCCATCAGACCATGGTTTCCGATGTGGTTTTGAATCATCATCATAATGGATTTTAAGCTTGGAGGGAATCTGGGATTTCAACTTCTTGACAGACATTTTCAGTTGGTCAAGTTCGTTAGTATCACTCCCTCCTTCTCTTGTTTTGATCTCCTCAAATTTCTCACAAGCCTGGTTGATTTGCACATTCATACGATCTACAAACTTCTGAATCTGTGTCATGGTCTCTTTCATGAAATTAAGATCTCGACCAATCATGTTAGTGAGATCATGATCTGCAACTTGGTAGTCGTCGTTGTTGTTTGGGGCGGTGGTAGCTTTGTGGTGGTGGTTGTTAAGTGGATTTGGTTGGGAGATACTACTGTCCATGGCTTTGAAAGGAACTATTACCAAAACAGGGTCGTGTTGGAGTCTTGAGAGAGAGAAAGAGAGAGGACAGGTTTTTTCTTTGATGGTCTGGTCTGGGTTTCAAAGAGAAAAATGGATCATGAGAGAGAGTGAACACGTTTTTTCTTTGATGGTCTGGGCTGGGTTTCAAAGAGAGAGATGGATCATGAGAGAGACGAAACGCTGTGACACCATAAGAGAGAGAGAGAGAGAGACGTAGTGTCTCTCGGCTGATTTCCCTATCACATTTGCAGAATTTTATTCCCACTTTCTATTTTTATTCTTATAAAAACGACTTTTGAAAAGCTGTATCTTGTGTTTAAAATAATAAAAAAATTTGAAGATAGAAAATCGGCTTTGAAAAAGTCAAGTTTTAATTAACTTTGAATTAGTTACAAATGGTTTTGATTTACACTAAATTTCTTTTTTAATTTATATTTTTAACATAACTATTTTTTGACCAAAAATATTTTTAATACAAAAACGATTTTTTAATACCAAAAGATGAGAGAGAGAGAGCAACAACTCTAATACATTCACAGATGAGTTTCAAAAATATTTTAAATAAAAAACGACTTTAGAAAAATCATTTTATATTTGTTTTCCCATGTGAAGGTTGTTGAGAGCAACAATTCCAATGCATTCAAAAGATGTTTTTTTAAAAAATTATAACACAGACAAAGCATGATCCATATAATACTCCAATAAATCTCATCAAGATTCCACATTCAATTACTTATTATGCCCTGTTTGGCATGAGTTAAATAGAGATTTTTTGGCTAAAATATTCACAAAAAGATAAAATAAATTTTTTAATTCAATAAGACAAAGGGGCTGTTTGGGAAGTGGGATTTTTGCTTAATTTAGGCTAAAATTTACAAAAAAGACAAACTAGACTAAAATAGTTAATAAGATAAAATGTCACATCAAACCCATAATCATTTAATTTTATCTCACAAACATCACATCCAAACACAAAAAAATCCAACCATCTTCCCAAACACAAAAATTTTAACCTACTAAAATAATCAAAAACTAAAATAACCTGCTAAAATAGTCAAAAACTAAAATAGCCTACTAAAATAGCAACTTCCCAAACACTCGCAAAATGTTATATCCAAATCATAATTATTATATTTTTTCTTTCACAAAAGTCTCATAAACGAGACTTTTTAACCACAGGCTAAAATAGTCAAAAAGCCAACCCACATCCCAAACAAACCCTATATAAAACATATATTGTGGAGGTTTGGGAAATTGTTATTTTAATAGGCTATTTTAATTTTTGCCTACTTTAGTAAATTAAAATTTTTGTGCTTAGAAAGATAATTAGAATTTTTTATAATTGGATGTGATACTTGTATTTTCAAATTAAAGGTTAATTTAATTTATGTTTTCAACATAAATATTTTTTGACCAAAAATACTTTTAATACAAAAATGATTTTATAAAAGCGTTTTATAACCAAACACACCACTCAAAATTACTCAAAACTCAATTCAAAAATTAATTTCAAAACTCATAATCAAACACACAACTCAAAACTCAATTCAAAATTTAAAACCAAACTCATTTCAAAATTCTATTTTTAAAAAATATATTTTTTTTGTTTATTAAAATTATTTTTAGAATCATGATTTGAGTGCAGAGTCGGGTTTTGAGTCATTAGTTTTGAAAAGAGAAAATTTATTTGGTTATGAGTTTTGAAAAGAGTTTTGAGTTGTATTTTGAGTTTTGAGTTGTTTTTTAAGATTTTTTGGTCAACCAGCCAGACGTCGTCCGGGGGGACATTTGGGGGGATGACCGGGCAAACATGTTTTCAAATGTGGATGTGGAATCAATGTTTGAAAATTGTTACCAAACACAACACTCAAACCTATATGTAGAAAAAGAAATATTATAAAATATTTTATGAAATTTTTTTATTAGTATGAGGTGTTTTGTTATATGTGTAATCTAACGATAGAGAATCTTTCATGATCTTCTTCACAATATTTTTTTCATGATCCCTAACATTACTTGGTGGATTTTATTACAGTTCCATTTTGGTTTATAGAGTTTATTATGAGTTTTATTTTAATAATTTGAATTATTTATTTTATAATTTTTTTTTGTGTATATTATTTATAAAAAAATTAAATTGATTTAATAATTATAATATTTTTTATTTTATCTTACTTTTCTAAAAAAAATAAATAGTATATTTTAATAAAAATATTTGTTTAATTTTTCGAAAACAAAAGTAATAAAATAAAAATGTTATGATTATTAGTTCAACTTAATTTTTTTGTATAAATAATATACATTAAAGACCCTACAAAATAAATAATTCGGATCATTGAAATGAAACTTGTAATAGATTCCACGACGAAGCTCAACCCCCCTTTAAACAATGTGAAGAAAGTTTTACTTTGCTCCCAAACTATCACTTAAAATCAATTCAACATCCATTCTTTTGATTATATGAATATTACACATAAACCATTCAATTTTGAATCAATTTCACCCCGCTGTCAACTGTTGTCTATGATCATATAGAATTTGCTGACTCGGCATCATGTTTTCATTTAAAATTTCATTTTATCTTCCAAATTATCTATAAAATATTAATTAGACCCTCAAATTTCATTTTGTCCAGGGGTCTAATTGTTATTTTAGAAATAGTTTGGAAGGTAAAATGAAATTTGAGGGTCATATCAACAACTTCTGTTTAATTATAGATGACGATTGATGGTGAGAATAAAATTAAATACTTCAAATTTTAAATGATGAATACATTGATCTATATATACAAAAAAATAAAATAAAATTTAAAAGAGGAAATTTGTAAGAACTTCCTCTTACAATAGAAAGCTTTTGGGGAGGTTCAAATAACCTCAAGTTTGGCTTAACTTGCTAGTAAAATCTCTTAATAATTTAAATTTTTACATAAATAACTAGTTAATAAGTTAATATGTTATTAGAGCAGATAATGAATTTTATGAGGATTAGCGGTTAGCACATGCGATGTGTGTGCAATTTAAATAAGTAAAAAAAATAATATAATTAACATCATAATATGTATTGCTTAAGTGGTGTGCACTCCTCCATATAATGGGAGGAAAATAATGAGAGAGAAGTGGTTTGGGTCTATTTATAGTAGTAGAAAAATAGACCTAAGATCAAGTAAAATAATAGGCCCAAAAGCCCCCAAAGGTAGGGCCCATTCAAACCCCAAAATTCTGGAAAAAAACACACAGGGGTCGACCCTTCGGGCAGAGGTGTCGACCCTTCAGGTAGAAAAGACAATCTGGTAGCAAGCAAGGGGTCGACCCTTAGACATGAAGGGTCGACACTAATTTCCAACAACTAACACATAGATTCTGCAATATATAAGGGTCAACCCTTCCCAGACTGGTGTCGACCCTTGTGGACAGCAACAAGAGGCAGGTGTTGACACCACCAAGGCTAGTGTCGGACCTAAATTCCCGCAACACTTCCAGAAACTTCACCAACAGGTAGGGGTCGACCCTCAACAAGGCTGGTGTCGACTCTAGAATAGAATTTATAAGTTCCCAAAAATTTTTCAACATAAACAAGTGTGAACGAACAATCCCAACACGTTTAAATCAATTTGTACTCCTCCAAAACCAAGATATAACAACAACAAAGATTTCCAAAATAAAATAAAGGATTCAAATACACTTCCCAAAAGCTTTGAAGGACACATGTGCTACATGACCAGTCTTAAGACTTGGGCACTTTCCTTCCATTGTGCTTTCAACCAGCATTTGTTGCCTACTGTTGTAGCATATAGTATTCTTATTCGTGGTTACTGCAAGGTTAAAAGAAAACCAAACATAAATATGCATATATATAGATAAAAAAATACAGATACCGAGTACATACAAACATACACCCAAAGGGTTAATGATTTTTGGAGATGGAGATAAAATCATGGACTTCTTTTTTCTTTTTCTTTTTTTCTTTTTGTGTATACAGAGACGACCACCGTCAGAAACTTCCCATCTCTGTGTGGAAGGCTCATTTTCATTATCTAGGTTTCAATCTCTCAAGATTTTCTTTTCCTTTTCTTCACTCTCATTTGTTTATGGGCTCTGTGTTGATGAGATATTGGGGGGAAAATCGGTATGGGGTTGTAATGACAGTTTAGGTGGGTGT